CAGGGGAAAAAGGACTTGGTGGACTACGTCTAGGAGCTACGCACGCTCATCGCCGGCATGTTCGCTGAACCGCTGCCTGAGTCTGTCACCGTCACGGTGTTTATGGATGGTCTCAGGACCGGAGTGGCTCGCACGGAAGTGTTCCGCAGTCGTCCTACCTCGTTCGAGGAAGCTGTGGCCGTGGCGTTAAGCGCCGAGCACAATTTCAAGTCCGCTCGCATCGGCTGGAGCGCGCCACAGGCGAGTACGTCGAACGGTCCTGAACCTATGGACCTCAGCTACGCTGAAAGTGACGAAGCCGAGCTTCGGGCTGCTGAGCAGCGCCGCGGTATCCGCCGATGCTACACCGGCGACAGCACCGAGCACTTGCGGCCGGGTTACCCGCTGCGCAAACAGCAATCTGCTCGTTCGAGCGGCCCCGCTTTGAGCCACAAGGCTGGTTCGTCGCGGGGAAATGGCGACTCCCAGTAGGCGCGGGGCGGCCTACTGGGGAAGAACTAGGTTCTGTAGTGCCTTAGGGAGGGGGAGGACAACGGAGTCTAGTCCCGAAGAGAGCCGTACTCTAAAACACAGAACGTAAATGCAAGCCGGGCTTGCTGGTCGTCATTGCGACTGTGAAGGGCTTCGAGAAGCCGTGGACGATCTTGATTGATTCGGGGGCGTCTGGCAATTACGCCAGGCGTTTCTCCGTGGAGGGCAGCGAGTTATATGCTGTGGCGCTTCGCGCGCGTTCTCGTGACATAGTCACTGTCCGTTTGGCGACGGGCACTCGTGTCACGGTGCCCAAGGTCCCCATGGACTTGGGCGTCAAGTTCCTTGACTTTGACAGCACGGAACGCTGTTTGGTCTTGGACCTGGATTCAAGGTATGACTTCATCCTTGGCATGGCGTGGCTGGAACGCCATGAGCCTTGGATCGACTGGAGGTCGAAAACATTAGGTGCTACGCACATCTCTCCTGGTGGGGCTTTGGCGAGTCATGAACCCACCTCTGCCAGGACACAGAAGCGCTTTTGGCGCGAGCACTGGACCGAGTCGGTCGCTGTGCTGGACATCGGCGTGTCCGAGTTGGTCGACAACGCCGTTGTTGGAGAAGCACTTCCCGGAGTGGACGCGACGTCGTATACGTCGGCCGGTCCCGAGCACCGCTCGTCGGACGTTTGTGGGGCGGCACGTACTCCGCTAGTTCAGGGGCGTTTAACGCCTGGCGACGGTATGTCGCGGCACTCGGAGCTCGGCCCCCCTCGTGCGCGTGGGATGGCACGTACTCCATCGACTTTGGGGCGTTCGACGCTCGGCGACGGTTTGTCGCGGCCCGTTGGGCATGGCCGTGCGGGGGACAAGGCGGAGCGTGTCTCGCCTGGTGCTTTCATGACCAAGGATTGCCGTGTTGGCGATTCCTCGCTGGCGTCCACGATGGACGGAGGCGCGTTGTCGCCTGGATGTGGTGACGACGCTGTCGCCACGTCGCCCTCATCCTCTCGGCCTCGAGCGCGGAGGAGGAGGAGGAAGAGACGCAGAGCGTCTGCGGCGTCGAGCGTGTCGAGCGATGAAGCTCCACGCGAGTGCTGCGAGCAGCTATACACGCTCGTGAATGGGCTGACGGGAGACGTATCAGCCTTGAAGCTCTTCCCTCCGTGAGTGCTCTCCTCGAGCTTGAGGAGATGTCCGTCGCCGAGTTTGGCGAGGCCTTAAAGGCGGGCGATCTAGCCGAAGTGGTCATGATACGACCAGAAGAAGAGTTAAACTCGTCGTCACTATTGGACGAAGCGGTCCTGGAGGACACTAAGCAGGCGCTTAATAAACGTAGTGGCTCAGCCGTCTTGAAGGATCCGTCAGATCCGTTGTACCCGTTGGTAGTGGAGTTCGGAGACGTTGTCTCGAAGGACCCGCCTATGGGCCTACCTCCTGATCGAGGCGTTCGTCATGAAATTGACTTGGTTCCGGGAACCAAATATTGCGTCACACGCCAGTGGCCACTTCCCAAGGAACAGTGTGACGTCATTGACGCCTAATTTCGTGCCAAGAACGAAGCAGGACTGGTGCGCGAAAGCAAGTCCCCGCACTCGACGCCGACATTCTGTGTCAGGAAGCCGAACGGCAAGTGGCGCATTGTACATGCTTTCAACAAGCTTAACGCGGCCACTATCCCGGCACAAACGCCGATACCTCGCAAGGATGTTCTTCAGAACAACATGGTTGGGTGCACGTTGTACAGCGCTCTCGACTTGGTCGATGACTACTATCAGCTGCTCATGAGAGCGAGTGATATCCCTCTCACTGCGGTGAGTACTCCGAGCGGCATGCTCTGGGAGTGGTTGGTTATGCCCCAAGGGCTGCCAAACGCACCGGCAACGTTTAATCGTCTTGTGACGCAGTTGTTTCGGCCGCATCGCGCATATGCGCAGACGTACTTTGACGACATCTTCGTCCACAGTCGTGTGGAGCACGGGAAGTCGGATATGGAGAACCACATCGACCATTTGAGAGCCGTGCTCGAGTGTAAGCGAGCGAACAAGCTCTACACCAATGCCGACAAGTGCATCTTCGGCGCTGAAGAAATTCCCTTTCTGGAATGCTTCATTGGGAAGCGTGGTCTCCGAGCGGACCCTGCCAAGGTCAAGGCCATTGTGGACTGGCCGGTTCCTGCGAACCCGAAAGACCTGCGCAAGTGGCTGGGTCTGGCAAACTATTTGCACAAGTACAGCGAGAATTATGCTGAGTTGGCACAGCCATTGTCTAACCTTCTCAAGAAGGATGCTGAATGGTGTTGGGATGCCGAGCAGCAAAGCGCTTTTGAAGCAGTAAAGGAAAGCCTGCTTCAGGCACCGACCGATACTGGCACTGCCAGACCCCGATCGGCCGTTCAGCGTCGTGTGTGACGCGTCCGATTTTGCCATTGGCTGTGCACTGCTTCAAGCAGACGCCGATGGGCGTGAGCGGGTCATTGCGTTCGAGTCTCGGCAGCTAAAGGCTGCTGAGAAGAACTATCCTGTCCATGACAAGGAGCTACTCGCGATGAAGTATGCCCTCGTCAAGTTCAGGGTTCATCTGCTCGGTTCCAAGCCGTTTGTGATCTTCACAGACCACGCGTCCTTACTCTCTGCGACACAGTCGCCTCACCTCTCGCAGAGGATGGCCCGTTGGCTCTCGTTCTTTGCGGAGTACAACTTCGAGGTGAAGTATAAGCCCGGTCGGCAGAATGCGCTGGCCGACGCGTTGTCACGCAGGCCTGATTACGAGCTCGCTCACGTCACGAGTCTGACTCCGTCGATCACTGACATGATCCGTGCCGCGTATGCACGTGATGAGTGTTGTGTAGCTTTGCTACGGACGCTGGGGAGCGCGGAGTTTCGAGACTCGGACATCTTTCAGGTGCTTGGCACTCGTTTGGATATGTCCACGGCGGATCACCCCCAGACCGATGGTCAAACTGAGCGCGCGAACCGCGTCGTCGAAGACGTTCTTCGCAGTGTCTGTGCGGAGACGCCTAAGCGCTGGAGCGCGGTGCTCCCTCTCGTTGAGTTCGCGTTGAACAATGCCGTGCATGCCTCGACAGGCTTCACTCCGTTCTACGTGAACGGGCTTACTCACCCTCGCGTCCCGTTGACGCCGTCACGTAGTGACTCTGGGCTTGGTAGGGGAGAGTTAGCCGATAGGCTTGCTGATGTCAGCCCTCGTGATGTTCGTAAGGAACTGGACGACTTCTTGTCGATCCGTCTGAATGTCTTAAGGCATGTGCGAGACGCAATGGCTGATAGCCAAGACGTTCAAAAGGAACAAGCTGACGCTAGAGGCCGGGGTAATATGGAAAACTTTGAGGTCGGAGACCTGGTGTTATTAAACGCTAAAAAACTACCTACACATGCCGTTTCTGCGGTCTTCAAGACTAAGCTGCGTCCTCGCTTCATCGGACCGTTTAAGGTCGTGGCCAATAAGGGCCTTGCGTACACGCTTAAACTTCCCAAGAAGATGCGCACACACCCAGTGTTTTACGTGGGCTTGCTCAAGCGTTACCGCGACCCGAGCCAGGTGAGCGCGGAGGCGCTGGCGCCGGCACCGTTGGAGGGGCAGCGCCCCGCTGCAGCTGCACCAGCACGTCAACCTGCCCGCGCAGGATCTGGACTTGGTCGTGCAGCGCCTGAACAAAGCGCTCCAACCGACCCATCCGGTCATCCGGTGGATCTTCAAGATCGTAGAGTCGACGCTCAACAGCGCGGAGCGCGTCGTCGTTCTGCGCAAACTGCCTCCCGACCCAGTCGCGGTGGTCGCGCCCACGCCCGGCTTGATATTCCAGCTCGGACAACTGCGCTCGCACAACCGCAGGGTTTAGCGGCGGCTCGCCGACCACCTGCTCTGCTCGATGAGCACGGAGAGCTTCACTTCCATGTGGAGCTGCTTCTGAAGCGACGTCGTCACCGGGGTCATACCCAATATCTGGTGAAGTGGCGGGGCGAGCCACCGTCGTGGGAGTACGAGGTGCCCCTGAGGCAAGATTGCCCGGACGCCGTTGACGCTTTTGATCGGGAGCACCCGAGACACTCACCGAGCTCGAAGCCAACTCGTCGGTCGCCTCGCGCTTCCCGGCGCTGGAACGAGACGATGACACATCCGAGTGAGTGCTCGAGTGCGAAGCGTGAACTGGCGCCGCAGGCGTGGACGTAGACGCACGGCGCGGAGTATCTCGAACCGCACGATTGGCGCCTTGGGCGCGGGGTCTTTGACCATAGCGATTTTGTTGGCGGGCCATGTTCTTCGCCCACATGAAGCGGAGGCGCCGTTCAAGAAGAACATCTTGCTTTCTATAGCTTGCTCGAAGAGCATCAATTGACGGCAACTTACGGAAATTCTCAACCCAGGCCTGGAACTGGCCATCATCTTCATCTTCGGTCTCACCGGGAACGAGGACCATCGGGATGCGCTGCATCTGAGGCACTGACTGGTCGTGCAGTTGACCATCCAGCCGGGCGCAATACTCCGAGGGAGTGGTCTGCTGCGGCGTCAGATAGCGCTGGCCAGCGCGAGGCGCTCGTCTACATCTGCCGTTGTCGAGGCTCTCGGCCCTACGATGTATGAACCCAGCAGGCCTTTGGCCCAGTCGTTCGCGACTTTCAATGGATCTTCGCTGCTTGTAAAGCCATAGTCTCTCCGAGAGGGGTTCACGATAGGCAACGCCTCCGGTATGTTCGAGCGCGTTGGCGCGGTGCGCTCTTCGAGCTGACGGCGCTGAGCCTGGTCCAGTGGGTTGGAGACTGTGTCGGGATCCGTCGGATCATCCCCGTCCCTCGGAGGCAGAGGTGGCGCATGGCGCAGCGGGTCCGGGTGTAAGTGCGACCCCCGGGTCTCTGACCTTGGGCTGATGAACGAGTGCAGCGGGGGCGAGCGCGAGCGCGAGCGCGAACGTGGTGTCCTTGAAGAGCTGTGCCCACTCCGCGGCGATCTGCCATCGCCTTCCGACGGGTTGGCATTGACCTCGCCCTCCTCAGACCCGAAGAGATCGTCGTACGCATTGCGCACACGCCTTGGCGCCTGCTCGCCAGCCGGGCTTGAGCTATGCTCCGACATCTTCGCTGGCGGCAGCTTCGGAGGGTGCGCTGCACGATACTTGGCTATGGAAAGCCTCTGCGGGGTGCTGGGCACGGGCTCCTCCTTTGCGCTCGGCGTCTGTGACGACTCGGCGGCTGGCTCGACGGACGGGCTGTGCCCTGGCTGCGTGGCGCTCGTGCGCGGGCCTTGTGACTGCTGATCTGTAGACCCGGGGGCTGCGTGCATGCGTTACACGCGCAGCCGATTCGACAATGAGGCTCTGTGAGCACAAGTCGAACTCGCGATGGGTCTGGACCTTAACTGGAAGATCGGAATGGTCCGTGCTTTTGAAGCTGGCGTGTTCGCCGTCTTGATGGGGGAGAGTGTAACGGGGTTACACGGAGGTTACCCTTTTGGTTACCCTTTTGGTGTGCGATACACCAAGGGTTACTCCCTGGGCCACTGGCCAGTCATTGAGAATGAACTAGAGTTAGTTATGTCGATAGTAAGTGCAGGTATTTGCACCGTAGGCGGCGGAGCCGCAGATAAGAGAATGAATACAGTTTTGCCTTTTGCAAGAAGTCTCTGACTTGTTTTCGTGGGTCCTCGGATAGGACCCTGTTGGACTCTTTGAGTCGTAAAGTCTTCCTCTACGCAAGGAGCTACGGCAGCCCCGCTGCACTTTCAGTCCAAATCTGGAAATTTGCTCATTTTCGTGATAAAATAGTTCAAACTATTGTTTGCAGCAGTAACCACAGGTGAGTTTTATTACGTATCGAACGTGAAACCAGTCCAGACGAACATTTTACGTGTCCAAAACCGTAAAGTTGGCAATATTTTGAAAGAGTGGCACTTGAGGCTCGGCCATGTAGGGAAGGAACGCTTATTTAGAACGTTAAGTAACGAGAAGAACAAAGGGCTGCCGGAAATTTCTTGCTCTGAGCTGGAGAAGGTTCATAGCTTCTATAGGCATGTGCTTAAATGAAATATATAATAATGTCCTAAGGCAAGTTGCCACTTTAGTAGAGAGTGAGCAGTTTAGTAGAGTGTAACATTGACCATTGAACAGACAGTATTTCGCATATAGCTTCCATGATTGGTTGATAATATAACTATTCAAGGCGCAAGGGAGGAAACAGCTGGTATTTCAATACAAACTCCCGATAAAATCTCTACTAAACTGGCACAACCTCGAATTCGAGATGGCTTAGTAGCTTGCGTTGAATGTGCTGAATATTACATGGATTTAGTTAGCTGGTATAGTCTCTGATTGCTGAAATCTTGAGCTACATTTTCATATACCTTGCGGTCAATATTACAAGCAGGGGTGGTTGGCTAAAAGTTGCTATCGAAAATTCTACTAAACTGACAATTTGCCTTATAAGAACTTGGAGGGAGGTAAGGCCACTGAGTCACTTCATACCGTCGAAATTCCAACGCTCCAACCAAGGTGTCCAACCAATACCGGTACTACATCAATTCGTTTTAATGACATTTATTCATCTTTAGTGATACGACAGCTAAGTTCGAAAGAATCAATCAGCCTGCAAACCAGAGAGGCACAGCGACCACACACAGCGACCAGCGGACAGGGGCCGGCGGCGACGCAGACACGTGCCTGGCCTCGGGCGGGAGTGATAGCCTCCGGGGCCAGCATCAGCGGCAGCCTACAAGGGTACGTATATGCTTACACTGTGCCGGCAGCGAGAGCTGAATATCCGTTTGCTTTCAGGAAAGCGAGAGCATTTGCTTGCGCTTGCTCTCCCTCGTTGAGCACCTCGTTCTTAAACGCAGTGGCTGCTTCGTCGAGTGCGAAGCCAATCGGTAAGAACAGCATCATGTATCCTACAGCGTGCCTAAACTCCTATAGTGTTGTCTTTTTGACAGAGCGGGATGCGTATACAATAGGCTCGGCAGTGAACCTCTCGTACCAAAGTGCCGAAAGCGACTGCGACCCTTTCTTCTTCGGACGCACGGACTTGGTGGTGGATGATGGCACAGTGGCTGGACTCCCTCGACTTGGCGTTGCAGCGCCTTTACGCGGGTTTGGTGCAGCTGCGTCTAATTGTGCTCGAAGTTGTTCCTCCACTGCTAACAGTCATTCATCTAGCCTTTTGTTCTGTAGGATGATGATATCGATCTGCTCCGACTGGCGCTTCAACAGCACCACCGCAGCTTCGGACTGGGCGCCATTGGCACTCGACTCAACCTTGGGAGGCGGAGGGGTGAAGGCACGCCGAATTGTCTCGCTCCAAGCCAGCACCTCCGGCTCACCTATGGCCCGAGCCGCCATGGCTTCCCGCATCCAGACGATAAAGGCGCTCTGATCGGACAGGAACAGCATGTCGGGGTAGTGCATCACGAGCGTCGCCATCAAGACATCGGCGACTCCGTCGTCAAGATTGAGGGCTGTTTCGTCGAAACTCAGCGTGATTGCAAAGACCAAGGCCTGCAGTTTACCTGCACGCTCGCGGATGGGGCCATCGAGTGCACACATCGAAGGAAGCCGGGCGCCTTCCTTCAGCGTCCATCCGCTCAGAACACGGGTAACATTTTGATCGGCTTGGGTGGTACCAAGCATGGACCCAAAAGCTTTTGTTGACACGGCCAAGTTGCCAGCCGCCCCGCTCAATAGTCCAGTTTTCGGCCAGGCTTCCGTCGTTGGCGTGCATGGCAGCGCCGCGCCGAAACGAGTGAGATGTGAGTTCTGGGGTAAGCCTGACCTCTGTTGCTGCTGCAATATCCTTGACTCTGACTAACAACCTGCTCACATAGGCTTGCCCGACACCGGCTTGACTTCCGACATCGTTGTCTGGTCATCATCAGCTTCAAGGAGCTCGACCAGGCTAAGTTCTTCCACGTCATCCACGTTAGCGGCGCTCCGCTTTGTATCCATGAATTGCGGGAACATGCGCTTGCACGGAGCCGTTTGCATTAAAAAGGCGCAGCTACAGCGAATAAAGGACATGTTAAAAAGTTTGTCGGGTCTTTGAACAGCGAAATGCCTTGCAGCAGAGCCGTTTTAACTCTCTTGAAGCGAAGGGAGAGTACGCCACCTAGTAAGACATAATTTTGATCAGTACAATTTTAATGGACGATGGTAACTATTACCCTTTCACAACTTAGCAGAAAATCTTGAGAGCTGTTGTTTCTCTAGTTGCTCGGCATCAGAGCTTCGCCCGTACAGGTACCACATCATGACGACAACGGCAGCGTCGAGGTAGACGGTATCCGCAGAATCAGACTTGTACAGCAGTCGAACTATATTCTCCAGGTCTTGTTTGGAGCATGGTGGGGCCTTCTTTTCTAACGAGCCGTCTTCTCGGTTGCTACAATATTTTCCCAGCCCAAATAGGATTTTTTGTAGCTGTGGCTTCACGATTGCTCCCTGTTGTGGATACTTATCCAGCATCCAGTTTTTAACGTTTCCGAAATATGCAAGACACGTATTCGTTGGTAGCACTTTGTCTGTCGATCTAGCTAGGGAATATGCATACGTATCTAACATGATTCTCAGCACCTTACCTGTCTTGTCGGCGTCGATGAGTTTATAGGCGGCGTCGGATGTTATGTTCTCAGACGTGAGGAACGTGGTGAAGGAGTTCAGAACCATCGTTCTCGCCTTCTTTCTGTTAGCTGGAGCGAGGGAAGCGATCGACATGGCTTTAGCGCTGTTGGTGCTTCATGCAACCGCAACTACAGCTGCCTTGGTTGGAAACTGCACGATATTTTTAGAATATGCATTTGTATGGGAATTTGTATGACATAAAAAGTATTCTGCAAAATTTCCAACCAAATATGGTCGGATCGGTTGGAATACTGTCTGGTTTCTGCAAGACTAATCATTGGATAAAACCTTTGTTATCTAGCCCTTTCATTGGTGGATTTCACAAGTCGGGGATGGCATGGACGAGCCTTGGTTGGGATACGGGTTGCTAGTCACATACGAGGTCTAAAAGAACAAGAAAGCTTACTGTTGAGCTGACAGGCTATATCACGCCGTAAACTAATGTTACAACTGATAAAAACGCATTCGTATTCCGCGATCTACAATGGGGGTTTCAAACATCACTTGTCTTTAGCGTCAGCATTTTCAAAGCTGGGACAAAAAAGTACACCTGACGGGACTCATCGGCCGATACGTGATTAATAATTTCATCTCTGTGTCTGGTATACGTCCTTTAACAGCTGCTTCTCCCGTCCACGATAATATGCCGTTAAGATTTTGTGTGTTGTGAATATTTTGCCATAGTGATTGCTTGCACCGGGTTCGTAGAGCTGACATAAGAAAAAAAAAATCGGGATCTACAAGTCGTTCAAGGACAAGCTATCGCCCATCATTGACGGCTGGAAGAAGTCTGATGCTGTGCTCTACACTCGCGGATAAAACCCAAAGCCACCGTCGGTTGAGACCGTGGCGAACTGGGTGAGCGTTGCTTGGCGCGATGTTCCAGCTGATGTGATTGAGCGCTCGGTGACAGTAGCTGGATTTTCACCAAGATTTGGAGATTGGCATGGGGCGCGACACGGCGTTTACGGCGAGCTGTTTTGCTCAAAGTCGAAGAAGCGCGTCGATGAAGACACTAACGACGTGAGCGACAACGGCGGCGCCTTCAATGAGGACTGTTTCGATGAATTTTCGAATTGGGATAGTGAAGACTCTGTGTAGGACTAGAATTCGTGTACCGGTCCAATTTAAATACCTTTTGGTATCTGAAGGTATAATACAGGAATTGTGTACCGTATACAAATCGGCATTATCCGTTTAAACACTAAATCGCCCCAGGACATAAATTGCACACTACAGAACTTATCCTAAATATGAGTGGTGCGAATTAGTACCATATACACGCCAAAGCGGGTGAGGGACCTCAGCAGCCCCCAGCGCCTCAGCCGCTTGACCATGATCGTTCTTCTGGCGCTTGCGAGGCTGAGTGTTATCATCCTCGCGACCAGGCGCCTGGAGGAACAGGAGGGTGGAGGCTGTATATCCATATATTGTGATTTGGTATGCACATTCCAGATTGATATTCTTAAGTCCATTCAATAAAACAACTTCCAGAAAAGAGCATCCCTGTCGCTACACCGGCAGCCCACACTTGTGAGTGTGGCTGTATGCGTTTGGTTGTCGGTTCGAAAGGGATGGTGTTGAGACGCCTGTTTCCCTCACAACCCTCATCTTATCATTGCCGCCAGCAACTTCTAACTTATTCCTTTTGTATAGCCCTTGTTTTCCCTTGGTATTATACGATCAGAGCCTAGAAGACGGATCCTTTGGTACAGGTGTAACACCTTTCCCATAGACCCCCTCCGCCTTTTCATTGTGATTCTTTCTCTGCTGTCTCCGTGCATGCCCCAACGAAAAATCCGAAGGGGGGGGGGGTAATTGCGGCTGTATTATCGCACCACAATGTGTCGGTAATACTTGGCCGTACTCTATACTGAAATCAAGTAAAAAAAAAACGATTTTGTCCTCCCGTTTGTCCTAGCAAGAGGGTCGACTGGGGATATGTATGCAAATGCGATGCGTGCGCATGTTAGACCAGTTGCAGGTCGGCTGGTGTAACACTTTGGTGATGGAAATACAGCGATGAACAAAAATTCTAACGGCCACAAATATGCGACAAATGGTTGGCTCATTAATTGCTTTTCTAATTTGACTATTTACTTAATATTTTAGATGATATATTAGTGACGACATAAGGCGGCAGCTGTATGGTGCTAAAACTTTGTAATAATGCATTTGTGGCTATGGCAAGCATGATGGCCTTCCAAGCTCTATTTGTTCGGTTGCTCTCTCATATCGTATTGATTTGCCAATTTTATGTGTGTGTGTCGATTATGTGGCGGAGGATGGCGGTTGCTCTGCATCCAGATACCCATCAGCTTGGCATTCATAGAAGACCCACTACGCTCATGGCTAATTGCCAATAGGCTCATTGCGTTTTCAGGAAAGGCCGTAGCTTAGCATTGGGCTCACAATTACAATAAACTTAGCTTCACGCATTTCGTGACGGTCGAGAATGTCCACAAGCAAAACGGACTTTTCTGCAATGTGGCAGGTGAGAAGCGATCGTAGCTAGAACGCGCAGACAACGGAGATTATCCAGGTCTTCATCTGCACAATGTAGTCGTAATCTACAAACACCAACTATTAATAATTGTTAATCTAAACGATTAATTGCCGGGAAAGCAACACAACCTAGTTGAGGTGCGCCAGGAGTTTACCACGGCTTTCAACACGAACTATGGTGCACTTGACCCGAGCTTAATCTGCAATACTGACGAGACCGTTATCTACTTAGACAGCCTACTATCAAAAAATTTGTCAGAGAAAGCAGCTCGCCGGCTAGCATTTCCTGTTGAAACAGGAAAACGCCTCAATCCAAGGACTTCTTGGATGGGGGGGGGGGGGGGCAGGGATTGCTAATAATGCCGATTCTAAGGATGTTACCATAGTACCATAGTACTAATACTCCCGACTCAATTTCATATATTGTCAAAGATAATAGTTTATTTGCTCAGAGCTCATCATAATAAATCATAATATGTAATATTTATCAATTTTGGGAGGTATGTTCCATTTCAACAGTTTCTAGAGGTGTAAGCTTGTGCCATTCGAGGATCATTATATTAAAAAGCGATGGACGGCTCATCTAGTTTGGGAAAATTACGATTTGGGCTTTAGTTACCCTGTTTTGTATTTATTGGTCTTGCATAAACAAAATAAAGCGGGAAATTAGAGTGGTACGTAGTGCAGCGAGAAGACGCCACTGCTATTAGATACATCACATACCTACACTAGTTTGTATTGAAAGGAGCAAAATAATGCCATTGAAAAGTATGTCCACGTGTTGCTAGCTGGCTCAGGCTTCCTCATTATCATGCCCTCACTACATGTACATAGCAACACGCCCCGTAATGTGCACTTCGTAGCGCAGTCTGCACTACAGGATCTTAACATATACATAGTTTTATCATAATGACCAATCAAATGAAGCTGCACGGATATCCTACTTCTGGTAGCTTCTCGATCGATTATTAAGACTCTTACTGGCTGAGACAAGGCCCGCCGCAAAATGTCTGGTGCGGGCCTTTGAGAACAGGGTGAGACGAGCGGTGTCTGTTTCTGATTATTTATTAATAAAGTGAACGATTTAGTGATATTTTGGGAAACCATTATTCGAATTTTCGACTAATACAATATTCCAAGAAATGGACAAAATACTTATTACTATGATCATAGTAGAATTTATTACTATATATTATGATCGGCTGCTTTACTAGCAAACCTTAAGGATGACACATCGGATGCAGGCTCGGCTCCAGCGCGGCCACTCGGCTTGCTGCAAGGCCTTCCATTCTCCCCGCTAGCGCTCCGTCAGCCTGGCGTCCCTGTAACTACTAATAAATGATCAAACATATCTAAATATCGTTGGATAATTCGAAAAGATGTGTCTTCAATAAGTTCAGTCATACAGGCGAGCTCAGTAGCGTGGTAGTGTCATTCATTTTGACAAGGAGGTGGTATGGAGGATGTCCACATGGAGGAGCAATATTAACGAGTACTACGTTGGGTTGAACTAAACCAGGCAATCGGTGAAGTTGACGTCAGTGTTCCTCTTGCCAGCCCCGCGGCGGTCGTGGTACCCACCGTCCCTACAGCGGTAATTGACGAAACTTCGTTAAGGCGGACCTCGGCCACGTTCACGTTGTACTTCATGTAGATTGTACGATCAACAAAGAAATCAGTATGGAAACCGCCAACTATATGCACTCGCGACTGGTAGTAGATCTCGACGCTTTGGATGTGCGCGCCCGAAACCCTACTCATTCTGCGTACAGCTTCACCAGCCAGTGCCAAGAGCAACCTTTTTATGGAACAGGGGAGGAGGTTATCGCCAGTAATGTGGGCTGCTATAACGGCGCTGTGCTTCGTATATTTAAGAGATATCGTATAGGGGTTCATTCTCGAAATGCTTGATCAAAAGTTGCGCGGATACAGTGGGAAGCATGCTCACGCTGAGGAGTAGGTATAAAAAGCGGCGCCAACGCCAAAGATCATAGTGTGTCTGGCTCATCCGAAGCAGGGGCAAGTGAGCAAGGCGAAGCATCAGGTGTAATATGATTCAACCGGTTATTTATCGATAGAATACCATAGCAGATAATTTCAGGTTATCAACTTCTGATAAGAAAATCAATTTGCTTTGAAGACGATAGAGCGGATCCATACAACGCTTCCATCATACATTCTCTATACCATTTTCAGCCCAAACTGGGACACGTGGCAGAGCAAACTGGGACATGCGAGAGTCAATGCTCGTAATTTACTTAAACATGAAATTACCGGAATCTATCTCATAAGCTAAAATGAGCGAGGTTGGTTATGGAGCACGTGATACGAGTCATTCGCTTCAATATAAAGCTTCCCGCCCCCTCACAAAACGAATCTTTACCAGCGCGATGACGCATGCACCCAGCCATCTCATCACAGCACCTGCCGGCCTCTTGCCTCAGCCACAGCGTACGGCGACGCAAGGTGGGCGATAGCCTGTTGGACGCCTACAATTCAGGCGATGATTGGCTTACAGTGGTCAATCACAACGGGAGGTCGTGCTCCACGGCTAACCGACTCTGTAAGTCCGGATATCCCACGCCACCATCCAGCGGTGTGCGCCAAGCCTCGACCAAGTGCACTGCCGTGGAGGATTACCGAGAGGATGAATACACACTCGGATTGGCTGAGGTGAGTGACCGATTGCTGCGTGACTTCGGTGACAATTGGCTGAGGCTGTGGTCAACGCCGAGGTCGCAAACAAGTTGATCACCGCCGACGTAAAGCAGGTACGGATATGGATTATTTCGGTACGAGCGTTTCACAGGTCTGTTAATCCTGTTGCTACTGCAGGTTAGACGTGAGCCGTCTACATGTAATATTGAACCCAATAAGTTGAAGCGCAAAACGTTTACTGAGAATTTCATCAAGCACATGTCAGACGGAAACTACGACGAAACCAACTATAATATTTTTTTCTGTAAGCGTAACCAAGGCCATGCAGCTACAGGCGAGCGTGCAATACTGAAGCTACCAACATTGCTAGGAAAGGATCGGCAAGTACAATACGATGTATCTACAGAAGATGACCTAGTATTACACCAACTGGCCTGAGTCAGTATTCGTATGGAGGATAATGCGGCCTTCGCGCTGCGGATCTACTCCAAGGTCAAGAGCTTGGAAAGTTTTCAGTGTGTTACTTCGATGGGCGAAAGGTCTTCATCATCCTCAAAACGTCCCTGCCCAAACCCAAACGGAGACCCGGTTGGAGCCGGAGATTGGCGAGATGGACGACCTGTTTGTTTTTAGGCTGGGTCCTTATTCCCCATGCTGAACCCTATGGAAGGTAAGTATTCTTTGCTGAAGCAATATTGTACCCAGTACGGCGGCCTGAAGGGTCTATGGTATGCTAATGCAGGGTGGTTTAGTGTTGTCAAGGGTGGAGAAACATGTTGCTGACCATCGTGTTCGCATGTTTTGAGCGAGGCGCTCATCCGACGCTGACGGAGTCGAGAATGAACTCAATGTAGCAATCAAAGTAAGACCACATAAAAAAAACGCGACCCTTGTCGAATTACGAAAACAATTCCAGCTTAATGGTACCCCAGATTTAC